GAAGGAAGGAAAAAAAAATAAAACGGATTTCCCCTCCCACCCCCACCCCCGATAGATTCGAGGACGAGATCGAAAGAATCAACGTATCATTATCGATTATACTCGTTGTATTCCACCGTTTCGCTCAAACATCATAAAAATGTCCCGGTGTGTACAGTTTAAACAAGCAAAGTCAATTTTTATCTTTTCGATCCGTTCGTTCGGTGGAATAACGGCCGCCACAGATACACGTTTCTCCATTTTTCCTTCCTTCTACCCATTCTCTCTCTCTCTCTCTCTATCTCTCTTTTTCACTCGCTCACCCGCTCTTCCTCCCTCCCCCTCCCGTTTCGATGTATGGAGTTTGTACACGGCAATTTAATAAATGATCAAATATTATATTAATTTAATGTTTTCAAGCCGGCGCTCGCGTTGCGTGTTTGCGCGGGCGCGCACAAAATTGATATTTTCTTTCTTCTACAATTTCCACGACAAACAGCCGCCGTAGAATCCCCGTCAACAACGGCAAACAACAAATTAATTCGTTGTTTAAACAGTTGCAGAGGTCGGCTGTTTGTCGCTGGCAAACGCGTTTAACGCCACCGACGACCAAGGAACGATCCTGCTAAATTCGAAAGGAGCTTTCTTAATACGTTAAAAACTTCGACTCCGTATGATACAGTGTATATTTTTCCGCCGTGTATGTATATCATTCGAATGAATCGAGACTATCCCGTTGAATAAGGGTCGAAAGATAAACCTTCTCGTTTGACGTTGTCGTACTAGTATCTCTATTTCGACGTATACTGTATTTACGCAACGGGGGAGGAGGAAATTTTACACTTTATACCTTTGATTTATTTCCTGTCACGAAATAAAAAAAAAAGAGAGAGAGAAATCGTTTTTGGAAAAAGCGTTGGAAAAATCTTTCGAAAATTTTCTAGTTCCGATTCGTTGGACAAACGGGGGGATATAAGGATCATCGACGTAATCCCCTTATGTAACGAGAGCACGTTTTCAAAAAACGTCGATACGTACGTTTCCAACACGCGACACGCTTTTTTCAATAGGATCGATTTTTCGAATGTCCCCGCAATTTATCGAGTGTCCCCGAATTGAACGAACGAACGAACGAACGGTGTCTCTATCCTCGAAGATCTTGGAATCTTCTTTTTTCTTCCCCCCCCCCCCCCCTCCATTACGTTTTTTCATTCTCTCTACTTTTTTTATTCCACACAGCCCCGTGTACAGTCCCTCTCGCGTAGACGTAGGCCGAGCAAAAGACCAAACGGTGGGGTGAAACCGCGATCGATCGGCTTTTGGTCGTGTGTATTTTTTTTTTTTCTGTTCTTCTAGCTGGCAGCATGGCTTTCAGCTGATCTCACTGTTGCTTTTGCCGCTTCTAAAGAGAGCATTACAGAGATTTGTTTGGGCCGAGTAGTGGATGATAGGGGAGCGAAGGCATGTAACGTGACTTGACTCGTCATTTGTCAGACTGGAGAAGCTGCTGGACATACTGCATAATAAGATGATCGGTGCCACCGACCAGGGAACCGTTTCGGGCTTGGCTAACGTGAAACGTGCGACGAACGTCTCCTCCTCGTCCGAGGAGGATGAAGAGGGGGAGGAGGAGGAGGAGGAGGATGGGGAGAAGAGGAGGAGGAGGAGGAACCATCGAGTGGAAAGGGAGGAGGACGAAGAGGATGGTAACGTGGATGACGATGGTGGCGGGGTGACGGCATTCAGGGAGAAGGTTCCCGAATGGATGTCGATGATCGACAGTGGTATCAAACTGTCTGGACCTGTTACCGATCTTTAGACTAGGTATTTTTTTTTTTTTTTTCCCCTTTTGCCATTTTCCACTTCCATTTTCGATTAGAATTTTAGAAACAAAACGAAACAAAAAAAGGAAAAGAGAAAAGAAACGGAATGTTGTTTCTCTTTTGATTGTTCGATAGAAAATGTAGAATGTAATGAATAGACGGCGGAGGACGGAATGTTCGAGCACGAAGAGAGGCAGTGAATGGTATGAAAATGGTATCAAGACCATGATATTAGATTAATTCTTCCAACAGTTAAATTTTTCAGGTAGAAGAACAATCATTGTGACGATGGCGCGAAATACCATCAAATATTGTAGGTGTGTATCATTTAAATACGTCATCATCAAGAGGGGAAGGGGGGGGGGGAGGAAGTTGAATCGAGTATAAATATTTTCGATTAACGAGATTGATTTTGAAAAAGTTTGACGATCGAAGAAAGAGCAATCAATCTTCTTAGAAGTTTCTTCGATTCCGTAGAATGTTAACGTAATTTTGCTTCTCGGATTAAAAAAAAAAAAAAGTATATACGTGCATAGTTTATAACAAAATTGTCGAACAATCGTTTTTACAATCGTTCTTCTGGATAATTGATGCTTGATTTAGATTAGTTATCACGTAGAATCGCAACGAAATGAGACATGCTGAAATTTCCATAGTATATCTGTTCTATAAATACTATAGAAATTTAAGTATATATATATCGTCAAACAGGGTTGATATTTTATTTAACGAGTTCAACGAGTTTCTTTTAATTAAGGATTAATTAAGTAACGTGTAATCATTCAGATTGATGATTATCTCTACTTCTCAATAATTCCAGTTTTACTTTATTATTTTACTTAAATTAAATTGTATTAAATTTCACTTTCGTTCGTTGTCCATTCCGTTTTAATTTTAAATTCAATCGAAGGTTTCACGCAACACGAAAGTAATTCCTCGTTAGGGATTAGATTCAAGAGCGATCGATCAAGAGATGTAGATGTAGAGCTCGACTCGTAGTTCATATCTTTCCAACCTTAACTGTGATCGTTTATTCGTCCCAATTTTTTGAATCGCACGAAATTCTTGTTATGCCGTCTTCACGTGGCTGTCCAGTTTTTGCCAGATTCGTTAAATGAATTCCCATTGAAAATGCACACTTTCGATCGTTGTGCTCGCTTTGGAGCAAGGTGATCGATAATGTTCGCGTGTTTTCGCTCGCTGATCGATCGATTAGCGACGCTAGTTTCCTGGCCCAACAACGAACTTGATGTAATTGGGTTAACGCGTACAACGGATCTTCTTCTTTCGTTTTGTTAATGTCGTATGTAACGTTCAATATTGTTTTATTTGGAACATGAATCTTTATTCTATATACACACATATATATATATATATATATAATATATTTTCAATCGTCCCTAGAGTTTAATCAATTTGTAGGGAATAGTTCGATGATAAATCAAGTATTATTCGAGATTACGTTGCTTCATTTTACGTACATTATATTATATCTGTTAAAGCTGATCTTTTTCTTCCCGTTATATTTCGTTGATATTTCTCTTTCGATTTTCGCAGAATTCTTCGTTCGAAATTTTCCCACATTTCTGAATCAACGTTGTTAAAATAATCGCGATAACGGCTAATAATTTTTGTATAGGTTTTTTTTTTTCCATCCCTCTGAAAGGTAATCGATAGTTTGTAATAAGGGAAAGATATATTTTTTTATGAACTAGATAGATTGTACATATATAAATATACACAAGTATAACGCGATACTTGAAAATTGTGAATTTTATCACAATCCTATTTTTCTTTTCTTATTTTTCTAATCGATTTCTAATTCTTCTTATCTTACATATTGCCCCCTAAGAAAAAGGGATTAAACGATCGTTTTCGAATTTCTATTTACCGAGTAATCTTCTAAACGGGAATTAATTATAGATAGATTCGTAGATTAATCAATTAGCAACGTGTAACACGATCTTTTATATTATCTATCTATATAATTAGACGATATGTATACACACACACACACACATACACACATATTATGCACGTAAAATAGTTTAAGTTGAGAGGTAAAAACTCTTCATGAAAGCAGCGGTAAAATTTTCGTAAACGAATTAATATAATTATTTTCATCCCTTAACGTTTCATTACATTTCTGTTGAATTTACTTTCTATTTTTCGATATCTCGCGTACGAAAAAAACCTGTTTTTTGTGAAGAGTCAAGGAACAATTGCGACGTTCGAAATAATTAAAAAATCATCCGATCCGTCGATGACAGCGAATTTATTATTTTTTTTTTTTATAAAAAAAGGAATCGAGAAATCTTTTATCGCTTTGATTTGCGGATTAAAAGACTTTTCGACGATTTATTATTTTTCCTAAAGAATCTACGAATCATTTGTTTCGTTAATTCTGAACAAAAAAAAAAAAAAATAAGAATTCGATGAACGATAGTATCCGATTCTCTAACATCCGTTTATTATATTTAAGTCGATCGAAGATGAATGAAAATTTTCTAATTATTTCGAGCAAACTTGTGCAACAAGATACTGTAAATAAATGATCGTATTACCCATTTATTCGTTACTTCGAATATCTCAAACCTACGTGTTTAAGATATTCACTCGAATCGCAATAACTGCAATAAGTGCACAGTTATATTTTTGTAAAAGGCTAGGTATATGTGGAAAACGTACGACGAATAATATTATATTCGTAAAAATTTATCGAAAATTCTTCAACGAATTCGTAATCGTTGGCTTGCCGATTCAGGCAACGAGGCGTGCGATGCTGGAGCGGAATATAATTGATATCATTGTGTGCGAATCGTCAATTGTCAACTCTAATCGAATCACGAGTGATTAGCGCGTATTTTTTATACTCTTTCCGTATCGCGCGCATTACGTTGCATTAATTTATAATAGAAATTAAGCGATACGCGAAAATTTAATCGGCGGGCGGGAATTGATAGCCGATTTATTATTCAACCTTTTTTTTTTTTCTTCTTTTTTTTTTATTACTCGAAATTGATAGTCGAAATTGTATTCGTTCGAACACGATTCCACCGTGATAATTGATGTTTTTTCCGGCGAAATCGCCATTTGAATTTCATCGATTCGATGAACGATTCTTTAACCAAACGCTGTTTTACGCTATTTTATCGTCCTTCGTGATTTTAAAGTATCGCTCTTTTTTGTTTTTGTTTTTTTTTTTTATTCAGACTAATTTTAATCCCATTTTTGGGAAATAATCCAAGTTCGCGCCAAACGCTCGCTGCGTTTTGAGGATGATTTAACAGAGCACGATTAATTCTCCGTGATCCGAATTGTCGCTAAGTAATTTTTTATTAAAAAAAAAAGAAAAAAAAAGCAATATAATCGTTCGATATCGTTTGAAAAAATTCGTGTTGACTCGTTGTTGAATTATCGAGCGAAATTTTCATTAGCATTTGTTCATTCAGCGTGATTAAGCGTAATCAAGCGTGGAGAAAATTTAAATTTGAAATAATCGAGAAAAGAGCAAACTTGTCGAACGAATGGATTACACACGAGGAGTGACAGTGTGCGATGAAAGAACGATTGACACTTTGTAATAGAAAATAATTACAATACTTAAATATAGTACTTAACGATCGCACGACACGACGCAATTAAACGAGTTTTACCACGTATAAATTTTGTAAAATCGTGTGTGCACGATTGAAACGCACCGCGCATCCAAATACAATTAACCGATTATTCGATCGATCTAATCTTCTCCAAGTGCCATTAAAATCGCGCATGAACCCATCGCTCAGGTTCCCATCGTTCTATTTCTTCTTTTTTATCGGAATAAACCGGAAGCAATGTAAAAAAAAGTGCCCTTTCTGTCCCCTTAAAACCGTTAAGTTTTAAGATTAATCGTAGACTGTAAAATGCGCGTCACGTTGTATTTGACGAACTTTTCTCTCTCTCTCTCTCTTCTTTTTTCTTTTAACCATGCGTTTCACCGACGGCGGGATTGTCGTCGCTTCGGTTTCACAGATGTATATTAAGTTATGTTACGTTAAAATGTTACAGAGGAGCCGAGAAGAAACACGCCTTTTCGAACGAATTTGTTTTAATAAGTAACCATATGTACGCGTATATACATATATACATACACATATATATATATATATTATATATATATATATATTCTTGAGACTTTAATAAAATAAAATGTACACGAACAAGACTGCAATAGCATGCTTTCGTCTTTTCAACGAGTGCAATTAAGATTAACCCTTTCGCCACGATGCTCGAGAAAGATCGTCACCAGCCTCACAAAATATCGATGTTTTCGCTCGTCGTATCGTACGATTACGCGGTGGATATATAGCAGCAAAAGGGTTAAAATTAAATGGATAATAGGAATGGAAACGATCGTATCGTGGTTGCAACACGGGTTATTAATTACGCGTTGGAGTGTTTTGAGCGAAAGCAATGGTCGCCACTTGATTAATCGACCGCCCCGCCATTTTTACAGCGGAACGACAACGGGGGGGGCCCGATGTTTTTCCATCTCGCCTCCGTGTACAGCCCATTTCCAAGTGTTGTGATTAGCGAAAGATGTTATTCTTGTGTATGGGTGTTTGTCTTCGCTGCGCGCTCTCCCACGAAGATCGTCTGAAACAGTGAAATATACGTACACGTAGTCGGCGATGATAGCAAAACATTGCGTCTAGATAAGAATCAGATCGATCGTTGAATTTCTTCCTCCCAATTTCTCATCTTCGCGCTTTTCTCAGATATAGATAAAAAAAAAAGAAAAGAAAACATCTGCTCAAATATCTGAAACGATGCTTGTTCGCACGCGAATCGAAAATTCTCCACCATAAAACCATCTGTTTCTTTTTATGGCGAAGACCATCTCTCTCGCGATAAGCTTTTCCTTCGGCTTTAATCTACACGAACGGGAAAACGGGGGAGGGACAAAAAAGGAAAAAGAAAAAAGGGAAGATTCTTTTTCTCTCTCTCTCTCTCCTTCTCTGCCAAAGCGCCGCCATCGTAAATCGATTATCGTTTTACGACCGGGATCTCGGACGTTTCCCTCGTTTCGCACGTTTCCTCCTCTCTCTCTCTCTCTCTCTCAAGAAG